GAATCCCGGCCTAGGTAGCCTTAAAGCGGTAAGTCGTAGATCGGCCTAGATAATCTTCGTACGTAGTATATTCTACTAGAGTTCTTCGGTCCCTATATCCTTATATTCGGCCTCTGTCGTAGCTAGGGCTCTTAGAACCTAGAGCTTGCTATAGTAGCGTAGGAACCCCTTAGAGTCTATTATATAGTCTCCGATCTAAATCTTTACCTAAATATCTAGCTATAATATCCTAGATCCCTCTTAGACTTTCTATAATACCGTCTAGTATACCGTATCCTTCTCGACTATATCTTTCTATAGGTCGTTTATTTCTAGGTCCTAGAATAGTTTAGCGCCTTCCGGCGGGGGTTATACGGGCTCTATCTCGTTCGCGAGTAGAAATAATAGGCTCGCCTTAGATATACGTAGGAAGTTTCGAATCGTAGCGCTAGAGATTTATACGTTTTTTAGCTAGTTTAGAGAGAGATCCGATTCTAGAAATCTTTAGAACCTTAAAAGCTTATCGTTTTGGCCTAATGTATCCTATTCTCTCTTTAATAAGATATCTAGTAGGGTAGCCTCGACTCCTAGCCGGTAGACTAGGGTAAACTAGTATTTAGCTAGTTCTTCCTACTATCGGATCTATCTCTCGGATAGTTAGCGCTTTACTATAAAGTATTCTAGGTTCTTATAGTCTGTCTAAATCGTAAAGGGACTATACGACTTTAGCTCGGAATCCTAAAACTTAATACTAGATACGACTATAAGTATCGCTTTATTATAGATATCGTAGTTAATCTCTGCCTTGTTTAGTTACTTCGAAAAGAAGCCTACCGGTCGTCGGATTCCGGCCGTTTCTAAGATAAGGGCGCCTCTAATCGCGAAGCCGCTATAATCTATTTCGAGAAAGGTAGGAAGAGACGGATCCTACTAGGTAAGTACTAGGATACGGTAGAATTTGTCCTTTAGCGTCTCGAACGCCTTAATAACCGCTAAAATAGTATTAGTAGCGTTCGAAAAGAGGTAGAAGAGAACTATATATTCGAAGATACGAACTAGATAGGCTTCTAAAGCCTCTTAAAGGGCCTCTATTACAGATACTTAGAAGCGATAGTCTAGTATAATATACTAGGCAATTTTGCGAATAAGTCGTTAGAAAGGAGCTTTGTAAATTAGGAGTTTACTATTACTCTAACATATCCGAATCTCTCGAAGGGCTACGGCTAAAGAAGGATTAGTAAAAAAAAGTAAGAATACCGGCTACGCTACTAGCTACGCTACTAGCTATAGATAAGACTTACCTTCTAGGCGCTATCGACGCTTCGTACGATTATTACTACTAGTAGTAGAAGCGCTAGTCGTCGTCTTATATAGAGCTTTACCCGCGACGCTTATTCTAGTACTAGAGCTAGCGGTAGTAGTAGTAGCCTTTTTACGTAGATATACTATACTCGTTCTACTACTTCTAGTCTTATTACGACCCGTAGAAGCACTAGGTCCCTTCTTACGAGACGTCGTAACTTAGTTAAGTAGACTTAGTATTATAAAAGTCGTCGAATTAATAAAAGAGCACGTTACGAAAGTATACGAAGGCGCGCGCGGAGCGAGGATATTATAGAGATAGTAGATATAGAGCGTAGAGATATAGGTATCGATACGAAGGTTATATATAGCGAAAGAGATAGTATCGCGGTATCGCTAGGCAATAGAGTAAGCGTCGCGCAAGTCGATATTATAGTAATCTTAGAGTAAGGAAAGAAGGTAGATATAGCTAAAAAGGGTAGGTATAGCGAAAAAAGGCAGGTACAGCAAACTTTAAAATATAGCCGGTATCTATAGCCGGTATAGTAATAGGCGAAAGCCTCCTTTTAATAAATAGTCGGCGTAATAATAGTATCCTACTATAGTATAGATATTCTTTAGTAATTCGATTACTAGCTATAGTAATCTTATAAGTAACCTAGGTATATTACTAGGAAATATAATAAATATCTATACTACGGTAGCGTATACTAAACAAGCTAGCTATTTAGTAGGAAGAGGCCTACTAACGTCTCTATATACGAACTAGCATTCGGCCTTAGTATAGCGAGTACTAGTAATTAGTAGAACGTAGTATAGAGCTGCTTTATAGCTCTTTTATATACTATACTAATACCGAGGGAGGAGCTATCCTAGTACTTAATATTAGAGAATAGTTTAGTAGGAAAGTATTAGAACTCCTTAACTTAAGGAGGGCTTCTAGAGAAATCGATAAGTTCTACCTAGATCTAGATAAGGATATTCTACTAAGTAGTTAGGGAATTAAATAGCGAGCGAAAGGATAAAAATTATACCTAGTAAATATAGTTTCTAAACTAAACTATTATAGCTTATATATATATATACTTATAATTAGTTAGTGCCCTTAGCTAATTGTCTATAGATTTAGGGTTATATAAGTACCTTCCTATAACTAAAAAATGCCGGCTACGCTACCTACTATACTCTCGTATCTTATAAAGGGCTTGCTTCGAGTTACGTATATATTCTTATACTTCTTAGAAACCAATAAATTCTATAGTTCGAACTAGCTACTCCTATAGTTGCTTAGCAAACTAACCTAAACTATACTAGATCTTCGACTTAGCAAACTAAACTAAACTAACCCGAACTACTACGGGGTCTATTCTTAAAGTCTCTCTACTAGCTAGGGGCTAATAGCTAGTCGGCTATATCGACGATTAATAATGTTATTAAGAATATCGTTAACAGTTAATAATAGATTATCGCTATAACCTATAGATTCTTTAATAGGCTCTATACTACTAGTATTGTTATTACTAGCGCTACTAAAAGCGTCACGGTTATTATTATTAGTACTTCGTAATAAGCTAGCTATTATAAGGGGTAATACTAATAATAGATTATAGGCCCCTATAGTACGGATATAGCGGTATTAGTAGGTATAGGTCTAGTACGATTAACTTAGTATAATAGGCCGTATAGAAGGCCTTACTTAATAATTAGTACGGTTATTCTAATAGAATAGTACGTATAGGTCCTGTTCTCGGGCGCAATATAGTTAGATTAGTAATTTTTGTAGCTATACCGCTAAAAGCTTAAAATAAGGACTATCTACCTACTACCCTTAAAAGGTAGATTGAATACTATATAATAGGGGTTATATTAGCAGGTAGATAGGGTAGTAGTAGGTATAAGTAGTATTCGATAAGAATCTAGAAGAAAAGGAAGGAGGAGGGTAGGCAAGTTAGCCTAACGCTAAGCGGTAAGCCCTACCTAAGGTATTAAGACCCTAGCTTTACTCGGCCTAATTATATACTAACTACGTATAGCCTCTTTAGCCCTAATATATATATAGTTTTGACTAAGAACTAAAAGAATAGAAAGAGACTTTTATAAAGTAAAACTATAGATAGGTAATACCTAGAAGTACTCTTATAGATATAGTATAGACCTTAAGCTTATAACTCTTTAGGATATATTACAAATCTACTAAGTAAATATAACTACTAGATTTCGACCTTATACGCTACGAATACGCCGCTATAGAAATTTAGTTATACTAATTTTAGTAATAATTAATAGCTATCTAACTAGGACCTAGGCGGTCGTTGCTACTAGATTATTAGGCTTAGTAACTGCTTTCGAAAAGAGCCGAAGCCCGAATACTAACGCCCGAATACTAATATCTACGGTTATGCCCTAAGCTAATTCGGGAAAGCTAAAGTAGGCCGTATATAATAGAAATAGTTCTAATTACTAAGGGGATAGAATAAGACCTTAAGAGACTAATAACTAAGCGAAAAGGGATTACTATAACTCCCTATATCCGGTTACCGCTAGGTATACGCGTTATTATTAGTTAAGGCTACTATTATAATAGCGTTAATATACCCTTACTATAGGGTTAGTAATAATAGCTTAGCTAGAAGAGTAGTAGTTATATAAGAATATTAAAGTAAGGTTTTATAATAAGATAGATAGTATCGTAATTAGTTAGTTAAGCGTTCGATTTAGCGTATAAGAGGCGCGGCTTATTATAATTAATAACTTAGCGAGATAAGTAATAAGAAATAGCTATAAGGGTATAGCCTTTAGAAGGGAAGCCTATATTAGAGAGTATATAAAAGGTATATAACTAGCTTAGTAAAGCTAGGGTCTTAGTGCCTTAGGCAGGGCTTAGTGCTTAGCGTTAGTCTAACTTTCTAACCTTCCTTTCCTTCCTTTATAGACTTTATCGAATACTATATACTTTAGAATATACTATCTACCTACTTACCTAATACCTATTATAGAGTACCTACGACTTATTTTAAAGTTCCTATATATAACTTACCTAGTTCTACGACTTATTTCATCGTGCCTTAGGCAAGATAGCGGAATCCAAAATGTTAGCTAGGCTCTCTCGAACCTAGTAGCAGCTGCCAAGATTCTGTCCGCGCCTGTGAAAATTGCTGGCATCGCAACTGCTTTCGTGGCTCGTCCAAAGTTCGACGACAACGGGTTGGACACTCGATCGCCTTCCGAACATGTCCGATCGAGTAACGAGCTCGGCGAGGCGACCGGCTGGTGCAGGGCAGCGGACTGACTTCGTGCCTGCGTTGGTCCGAATGGCTCTCATGGCAGGCCTCTTCTACGCGGGCAGAGTAAGTGTACCTCTGCATGCCAGCAACGTGCTCCAGACGTGTGCTAACGGTACTCCAAGTATCTTTACACGACCTTCATCGCATACCATCAACCTGGACGAAGCCATTTCTGATGGTTGGCTTACACCCCTCTCAATGGTCATTTATGCAGACGAAACTCGGCGTTTGTGCCGCCTTACTTCGTCTACTCACAGCATAGCTGTCTCCCACAACCGCGAGCACTGTGTACATGTAGCCAAAGAAGCTCCTGCGTCATTCGGCCACAACCCGCGCCCTCATCGTCTTGCGAAGTACACACCGCATGGAAAACCACACCGAAAACAGTATGCAGATCCATGAGAACTGGCCCCTAGAATAGGTATAGCGCCTTGATCACGTCCATATCGATTTCTTCACTGACCGCACCTCATCTGCTTCCATATTCTGACCTCAAATGCTCTTTGATTTCCTCCTTCTTCACATATCTATATGCCATATTGTCTTCTACAGTGGCGCATAAAGAGATCTCACTGGCGCCAAGACGACCTGCAGCTGCACACTGGTACCCACCTCGGCGAACTCTGTACCTCTGAAAGTGGCGAACACAGGCGCATCACGGCTCGCAGGAATTGCAGAACCAAGCCCTCTGAGAGAACACTGCCGCTTTCCTACTGATCACTGTACAGGCTACGTACAAGGCAGGGTGCCTCCATCAATTCAATACTTCTTCATCTAGAAAAAGCACCATCAGACGCTGTGCTTCCCCATCAGCACATCGGCATTGCAAAGACTTCAACAGCCGCGCAGCAGCTCGACCCGCAAGCAAGCAAGGTAGCTGGCTCTAGCTACATCACATGCAATCACATAATTTGTGGCGCTGATCTTCCTCAACGTCCACACGTACCCAGGCGATCGCGAGTAATGGGTCCAGGTATGGAGCTCCAGCATTTCAATGTCGCTTGCGAAGTTACTTTCGGCTATGAGAGACATCTGGAACAACCAAGAAGCTCCGCCAACCATTGTGGATGCGCAAGCTTCCGTCGCACAGCAACCAGCTTTATAGCGTCGTGTCTGACGCAATATGCATTTCCCGCCGGATTGCACATGAAAGAGGGGAATTGTCACTCGTGCGAGCTGAGAGATATATCGCATCTTTGACGCTCAATTTGTACGAACACCCCCAATCTCTCAACTTTCCGCCCTCAAACCACTTTACTCCAGCTTTCGGCAGTCCTGCATTGTGTTCATAGCCACCATGGGCAGTATTGCAGCCACCACCGCAATCAGTTCGGCTGACCACCGACACCGGTCGTACGACCTGAAAACACCTGAAGAGCACATCAAGCTCTACGATGACTGGGCAGCACAGTACGACGCCGATGTGATGGCTGATGCCACGAAATATGTTGGCCCGCAAATGACAGTGCAAGCCGTACAAGCTGCCAATGGCAAGCTAGACGGTGAAATCCTGTGAGTGAGCAGAACATGGCGGCCTAGTCTCTTCGTGGCTACTGATGCTGGCTCGTGATTGAGGCCTACTGAATGAACACAGCTAACATGCCTCAAGTGACGCAGGATGCGGTACTGGTCTGGCCGGTGTCGCACTGGCCCAGGCTGGCGCTACAGTCATCGACGGCATTGACTTATCACCTGGAATGCTCAAGGTTGCACGAAGGACGAATGTCTACCGAGACCTGTGGCCCGTAGACATGCTCAAGCCAATCCAGCAGAAAGACAACACCTACGACATTGTTACTTGCGTCGGAACATTCACAACTGGACACGTCGGTGCCACGCCTGCTCTTGCTGAGCTAGTACGAGTACTGAAGAAGGGCGGTGTCCTCGCAGCTACCATCCTCGACAATCTTTGGGAACCAGAAGGTTTCGAAGCTGAAGTAGAGAGACTACGAAGTGAAAAGCTTGTCGACGTGGTTAGCACCGATATCACCGACTACCGACAAGGCGACGGAGCCCGAAGTGTCATGCTCGTCCTCAGGAAGCTGTGATGGAAGATGGTTGACTGACTTGATCACTTGTATTCCATAGGGCCTCAACGCCATCGAGAAGGATGACGTGCCCTTACCAACAAGCGAATGCAAGCAAGAGATCGACTTGACCGACAATCATGGAGTAGAGCCACATTGCTCCCCCTCGCGATCACAACATCGCTGGTATAGTTTCTTAAGCACTACAGAAAACTGCAGTAAAAGCTTTAATTGCAGATGTGGTGTGTCTGCGCCGGGGCATTACTGTCAAAGGCTACTGTAGAGTCTTGAGGCAGCGGTTCATGCCATGCCGGACATGTTAGACCCAGTTACCACCTCTACCGAAATCCATTTTGTGTGAACTGACATCTCGCAGCAGGCGCTACGACAGTTCGACTAGGATCGTATTGTGCTGCCTAGGCAACAAATTTGTATAACAGGTTTGTCTATACTTATTTACTTACCGCCGTCTAGTATACAATTTCAGCTATAGCTACTTCGGTCTTAGACGCCTTAAAATTAAATTAAGAAATCTATTTAGTAAGTATAGATTTCTACTTTTCGCTATCTTATATATAAAATGAGTTATTATTATCTTTATATTATTGTTTAGAATTCTAAGTTAAAAAAGCTTTTTTCTAGTTCTATTATTACTACAGTTTTTGAAATAGCTATACTAATATTATATAGCAATAATATAACTTGTATTAGAAAATAGATCTATAGTAACGTATAGAACACCCTCTACTAATCGTAGTAGTAGATAGTAGAACTAAACTATGCCTTTTTAAAGAATAGGGTAGAGTATTTACTATTAACTAAGCTCGATAGCCCTATATAGCTAGTGTGTCCGCCGAGCCGGCTACTAAGTATTTCCGTACGAGCTACCGAGTATCTCCGCTTATACGCTAAGTAGACTTTACGCTAGCGGATTAGTACTATAGTATATATAATATATTATATAATTATTATATAGGATTTGCTAAGGCAGGATAGGAGACTTTACTTGCTTAGGTTCTTATAATTATCTCCTTCCCCTAATATAGCTATCCTAGCTATAGGATAGTATAGTAAGTTATACTATTCTTATACTCTATACTTTATATACGCTTCGCGCGCGTACCTATCGCTAGTCTACGGTTACTAGGTATATTATATATTGTCTCGCAGCCACTATTTGTTTTGTGGATTCGAAGTGTAGCTGCTTCTAGTGCTAGCTAGAGGTTGCCTAAATTTCTAAGAACGCGGTAGCTACGCGAGACTATAAGCCACCCGAAAGCGAAGCGAGTATTTAAAGTATTCGAAGCCTACTTAAAGACTTCTTCTTTTTCTAAGCGCCCCGAATACTACTCGCCTCTACTCTACCTATTCGTATCTCGCGCCCCTATAGTATTACTTAAAGAATTTTTTCTTTTTTCGATTCTCTATTATAAGTATTACTAGTATAGCTACTCCTTCTCGTACCGTAGGTAAGCGCGCTATAGGCGCCGCCCCTATAATATCTACTACGCCTACCTAGCGCCTACTAAAAGTCCTAAAGGGCTATACCCGCTACTTTAAGTATATTACGGCTAATAGTACGTTTTCTCGCCCCTTGCTATATATATACGCTTTGTAACTAACTCGCCTTAGAGGACCTAACTAAGCTTTATATAGGCGGCAATATAGACCCTACTACTAAGTATAACTATAACCGCTACCGAGATAGCTACTTTCTCTATACGCCTATTACGGCCCGCTTACTAGTATCGCTACTATCGCGTATCTGCGCTATACGCGGCGCGCGCGACTTATACGACCTAGATAGCTACGACTCTATTTAGGAGTCCGACGAGGCCCTAGCGGCCCTCTAGGCTAACTTAGACGCCTTAATCGTATATAGGTTTCTTATACGCTTCGCTTACGCTTCGTATACTAATCTTAATATTAGTTATCCTATCGTCCCTTATAGCCTTCTATACTAATAAGAATAAGGTAACCCTAGGCGGCAAAGCCCTAGCCCGTAAGAGGGCCGCTAGCGGGTCCCTTACGAACGTTAACCTATTAGATACCCTTAAGAATATTAGTACTAATTTAGCTAGCTTAGTCGAGATTAGTCGTTAGATATAGTTTTTCCTATAGCCTTGTTTCTCTTACGCTTCGTATACTAACTATACTAGAACCTCGCTTAGCGCGTTAGCGCTAACGCCGTCGCCGCTATCGACGCTACTATAGGCGTCGAGGCCGAAGAGGAGGAGTCTAAGGATAAATAGGATAGGCGGCCCGCTATCGCTACGCTTACGCGGCGCCCCTTTTATATATACTAGGCCGATAGGCCCTTTTTAGTAGCGAAACGAGTATGTATCTTTTATTTTTTCTTAAGTCTTATTTTCTTTTATTTTAATTACTACCTACGCTTACGCTACGCTTAAGCCTCGAACTTGTCTAGCGCTAGAGAATCTTTAATATAAATAGCTAGCTCCTAGGTATTATACTCTTTAGGCTACCCTCGCTACTTAATAAGGTAGTACGCCTTTTGCTTCTTTATCTTCTTTACTATAATTGTTTCTACCTACTACTTATTATCTTTAGCGATAGGTATACTTATCTTATACTTCTCGCTATCGCGCCTATACTAAGGCTCGAGAAGGGAAATATAGAAAACATTATAAATCTTCGTACTTAACGGTAGCGCTAGGCGGTACGCCTATACTCTAACTACGTCGATAATACGAAAAGGCTCTATATACTTCGGGCTAAGTTTCTTCTTTAGGATATCTAAGCTAATATTCTTTATTAATAGTAAGACTAGGTCGCTTATACTATATGTCTTAGTAGTATAGTATATATTATATTGCTTAGCCTAGTATTCTACTGCTTTCTACTAGCGTTACGTAAGCGTTTTATATACTTTCTATAGTCGCTCCGTAGCGTCGATAGCTACTAGTGCCCTTCCCTTAGTTAGCTCATCCTAAGCTAGTAGCTTATTTACTCTTAGTATTAAATTAGGGTTAAAGCTATAGAGTGTCCTAAAGGGGCTTATACGTAGCGTAGGATAAACGCTATTATTATAGGCAAATTCTACCTAGGGTAACAGTTTAGCCTAATTATCCTAGTTCTTAGAGTAATAGTATCGTAGGTATTACTCGAGGGTCTAATTCGCGCGTTCGGTTTGCCTATTAGTCTAAAGATAGAAGGCTATACTAAGCCTACGCTTTATATACGCTTCGAAGTAGAAGTCGCTCTAAAGCTAGCTCGTAAATAATAATATACGATTGCTAATAATACTAGATAGCACTCTAAAACGCCTAATTACCTCCCTCTAAAGGATATCTACGAGTTCTACTACTATATACTTCTTCGTCGTTAAGATAAAGAGGCTTATCTTCGTATAGCAGTCGACTATTACGAGGATCGTAGTATATACGTAGGTACTAAGCTTGCTCGGCGGGAGATTAGTAATAAAGTCTATTATTAGTTCTTACTAAGGTCGGGTCGGTATAGGTAGAGTAGCGAGCTCGCTATATAGGCGATAGCGCTTCGCCTTCGACTATTAAGAAATTCTATAGGTACGGATATAGGCCGCAACGTCCTCGGCTATCTTTAGCTAGAAGTACTTTCGGTATATTAGGTCTATAGTTTTAGCTATACTAAAGTGTCTAGCTAAAGGGTCGTTATAGTATATACGTATTAGTTGCGTACGTAATACGTAGTCCTTAGGGATATATAGCGTATCGCCGTAGTAGATAAGGTTACTATAGCGAGAATAGCTAGGCGGGAGGTTAGAACTACTTAAAGAGCCTAAGCTACCCGACGGTAAGCTTGTCTCGTCTAAGCCTCCTCCTCTCGCTTACTCTAACCGTTATAAGGTATATACGAAACTAAGGATTATATTAGATATCGCGTAGTAGGGTCTATCGTTTCTAACGATAGTAGCTGCTACTCTTACGGGACTACTAATAAAACCCTTACGTTCCGCTAGCGCTAAACTAGCGCCTCGTAGCCCTATATATATAATAGAGATACGATTTATAATTAGCTCGATATTATTAGGTAGATTTAACTATAGAGCTAGTTTCGACTATAATATAAAGAGAAGATTATTCGCTGCCTACGACTCGCTCTCGTAGTCGCTACGTCGCGAAGATATATCTACTAGATTTCGTTTACTAGCCTAATACTTAATAGTAAAGTTAAAAAGCGTAAGAAAGGTTATCTATCTTACCTACCTTCCGATAAGCTGCTTTATTTTTCTAAAGCCTATAAGATTAGTATAGTCGATAACTACGCGGATCGTATACTAGGCGCCGTCGAGGTATAGGCGCTTATACTTAAAGGACTCGATAACCGCTAGGAGCTCCTAGTTATAGGTCTTATAATTAATCTCGGCTAGGATTATTTTTCGTAACTAGAAAGCTAGGGGATGCTAATTCCTATCTTTACTCTATTATAATATAATCCCTACTAAGGCGAACGTAGAAGTATCGGTCTCGATAGTAAAGGACGGAAACTAATACTACTACTACTACTAGTAGTAATAGTATAAGCAACCGAGGGTAATATAACCTATAATAATATAGGTAGCTATATTTAGTATAATAGGATAATAAGACCGTTGCTTAGGCTAATAACTAGAGCCCTACAATATAGGCATTATAGAAGTGTAATATAAACAATATACTATACGAGGTTAGTACTCTATCTATAATATAGAAGGAGGCCTCTTATATAGGCTTAAAACTCAGCCTAAGTATATAGGGCCGGTTACTAGCTAATAATAGATAGGGGCTTCGTAGAATTATAGTATCGTAATATTAAGGCCGAGCTAAAGGCATCCTTTAGCTAGCGGAACGCTTGCTCCTCGCTTTCGCCCTACTAAACCTATTCTACCTTTCGGCTATTTACGGCTCCTTTTAATAAGGCGGGTAGTAGTATAACGATTTAGGAGTAATTAGGGATAAATCTCTAATAGAAGTTATAGAATCTAAGGAAGGATTAAACCTCCTTTAGCGTTAATAGGCGAGGCTACTCGTTAATAGCGTTTAGCCTACGCTAATCTATCGATACGCCTTCGGTACTAATAATAAATCCTAGGAATTCGACTTCTTTCTTCTAGACGGAATATTTCTTTCTATTTATATATAATATAAACTTTTAGAGCCGCGTAAGGATAACGCGTATATCTTGTACGTAGTCCTCTCGCGTTTTACTATAGATAAGAATATTATCGAGGTAGACGATATAGCAAATATTAACAAGGCTCCTAGCTAGCTAATGCCCTATTAATATATCTTTAGAACGTAGTAGGAGCATTAGTAAGCCTAAAAGGCATTACCTTATACTCGAAGTACCTATACCGCG